TCCCATCACTGCCACGCTCCATCTCATTCTTCCTTAGCAGTTCTATTCATTGCTTCCACAATTGTCCGGGTGATGAAACTATGTCCCAGACAAAGAAATTCATCTACTATGTCTCTAAACGGTTGAAGTCTCTTACAACAAACATATCTTAAATCTGTTCAAGTTTTGTTATCATTATTTAGCAAAAAGCATTTTGTTGGGCTAGATACATATTTTCACAATGACATTGCTTCTCTAACTTCTTTTATCCTCGTGCAGTTGTTTTCCACTATGCTTCCTTTAAGTTAACTGATTTCCATATAGGCATACTATTGTTTCACACAGTGAAATATATATCCCTTCCCTTCTATTAGATCTATTCCTTTTAAAGAGCATGTATTGATTCATTCTACTCACAGATCTCAACTTGGGAACATAACACCACTTAGGTTTTATTAGCCAAATTGTGTTAAGATTTCAAGTAATAGTAATGATAATACTAATGATGATAAAAATCATAGTAACAACAATAAAAGTAATGATCTCCAACATTTTTCGAGTACTTACTACATACTAGACACTAGCTAACCACTTTACATGTATTACATCAATTCTTATCACAACTCTATGAGACAGGTATCATTATTTTCACCCTAATTTTATAGATGAGGGAAAGTAACTCGCCCAAGGTAAGTGGTGGAGCTGGAAGTTAAACCCCAATATAGTTAACGCCTGAGTCTAAGCTCTTAAAAAAGCTATATGATCTCCATACTCTATACAGTTGACCCTTGAATACAGGGATTAGGGGTGCCAACCTGCTGTGCAGTTGCAAATATGCATATAACTTTTGACTCCCCAAAAACTTTACTAATAGCCTACTGTTGACTGGAAGCCTTACTGATAACATAAAGTCAATAAACACATATTCTGTATGTTATATGTGTCATATACTGTATTCTTAACAATAAAGTTAGGAAAAAGAAAATCTTATTAAGAAAGTCATAAGGAAGAAAAAATACATTTACAGTACTGTACAGTATTTATTGAAAAAAATCCACATGTAAGTGGACCCTCGCAGTTCAAACCCAAGTTGTTGAAGGGCCAATTGTATAGTGGTATAAACACTAGGACATCAGTATGACTCCTGAACTGCCTTCCAATTCTCTAATGTTTTCCTTGAGAATTCTTGTGAATTTCTTTGACTAATTCTTTTGAGAATTACCTCCTTCCCTACGTTTTGTCTTCCTTCATATTATATCACCATCTTCTACTGTACTTGCTTTTGCATGTTTGCATATCCTTACTTTATATTCCAGTGTAAAAATCAGGTTGGTGGTTTACATACCAAACATATTCTTCTAAGACACATCCTACTCCATTTCTTATCAGAAGTTCAATTTTGACCATTGTATGTCCCAGTCCCGAAAAAAGAAATCACCCCTAAAATCTATGTAGTATATATTTGCTGTCCACATCTCTCTTTCTCTTCTCAAAAGTAGCATAAAGGGCAAAAAAATATCAGTGGTATGGTATATACCTCATCAGTTGCTCCATCATGGGTCTATATCTATTATCAGGGAGTCACCAACTATCAGAAAGTATCTTCTCCTAGAGAAAGAAGATTCTTTCCACTTACTGTGTTTTCCTTAACATTCATATTTAATTTTACTTTCATGAGATAAGGACTTAAGGATTGTTTTATACCTACAATGGTCTAATTTCTTCTTTAAAGTGTCACATTTTTTCACTCAACTACCTAAATGTGTACTTGTTTTGACTATGCTCTACCCTTTTTATTTTTTTTCATTTCCTTTTTTCAGTTTATCCTCCCCCCCATTATAATTTGTTGTTTCTAATTCTGCTCTACTTTCGTATTTGCCTGTGTGTATAAAAAATAACATTTTTATCTCACTCAGCTTTAATGGGGATTAAATAATATAAAAATTCAACAGAAGCCATTGAACCAGAACTATGGCCAGTATTTCTGAGCATATAAAAACCCAAAATACTGGCTCACATTTATATCTATCCAGTCCAATTATAAGAGTTAAGATATAGCCATTTTGTATGCTTTGATCTCAAAAGTTTGGGTAACCCATGTTTTTTTAGTAATCCAGTAGAAAGAGTTTAGCTTAACAAAGCTAAGCCCATCTTCTCTAGCCTTTCTGGAGACTGTAAGATATACCTAATAGGATAGTGGTATTCTCTTTAAAGAAATATCTTGTAGGGCCGGCCCGGTGGCGCACTGGATAGTGCACCGCTTGGGAAGCGCGGCGGCGCTCTGTCTTTAAAGAAATATCTTGTAGTCTTCAAAAAAACATGAGAAAGTGTCATGTGACTATGTTATCAATGTTTGGGGATTGATTTTTCTGAAAAATCTAAACTTGGGTCAGTGTAGTTCTGAATACAAATTCATCACTGAATACAAGTTCATCATTGATAAATGAACAAATATGTCTCTTAAAAATAAATATATACAAGAAAATAAAAAAGAAGATATAAATAAAACTAAAAATACAAAAAAGGAAAAATATAAAAACACACGCAAAATATGAAATGGTGACAAAAGTTTTCATATAAAAATTCAACATTTCTCTTTTAAAAATGCATCATAAGAAATGGTTAAAACACACTTTATGTCCTATTATTTCAAGAAAAATAAAAGGGCTTTAGGAAAAGTGAAAATAAAAGTGAACACTAAGCAGCCATTAAGAAACTGAAACTAGCAGAGCAGATAGCCACATGATTCCTGAAGGGTTCATAATTCGTTATTTTGCATGGCAAATATTTTACCAAATTGCTAAGTATCAAGTTTTAGAGTTATTTTTTATACACACATGCTCATGTGCTCTCTCTCTCTCACCCCCCCCCCCCCAAAAAGCATTGCCAACTCAAATAATTTGTACCAAATCAAGGAGCATAATGAAAATGAAACACACTGCTAATATGAGTATATAAGGCCAGAGGGCTTTTCCTAAAAGTCAGGGAATGAGTTATCAATTCAAAGAACCTATCAGCAATGTATAAATGATCCTTACAGGATTTCAGTCCAGTGAGAGTTCTATGAGAATACTAGAAAAATAGCTAGGAAACATAGCTTTTAGAAAAAATGAAATTACTGAAGTTTTCAGAGTAAAAAAGAAAAATATTCACAAGATAGGAACTTACCACAATAGACAATAGTAAAAATAGGGAGTAGGGTCAGCAACCAGGGGCAAGAGAGAAGAGAAAACAGAAAGCATTTTAATTAGGGAAATTTCAAAACATATAAGCAGCAAATGGTAGCAAATACATTTCTTAAATGCAAGCATCCATTTAAGTTTTACAAGGGAGAAGCAAAAAACAAACGTGCAACAAATTTAGAAGCTACAAAGCTAAAGGTCCAGTAAAAGGTAGTGACAAGAACAAAAATAAGAAATAAAGTCTGTGCAACTTTTACCATGCAATAAACATGATGATAGAATGATATTAATGTCATAACCAGTGAAAATTATACCTTTCAGTGGTCGATTTAGCATCAAGCAGACTAGTAATAAACTGCTCAGAGGTTTCAATATATTCTTTTATGCCTAATTTTCAGCTAATTCTATTTCGTGTTAGGAAATCTATAGGACCTTTTTTATTCATAGATAACCACGGTTAAGTCTCTTTACATATGTCCTTTTTTTTTTTTCTTTTTGGGGGGCAGCTGGCTGGTATGGGGATCTGAACCCATGACCTCGGTATTACCAGCACCACACTCTCCCAAATGAGCTAACTAGACAGCCACATGTGTCTTAATTGAGTCAAAGAAATGAGGGATTTTATTTTAAGTATTAAAAAGGTCACACACATTTAATCTGGAGAATTAAGGTAGATGTAAAAGTACTGGCTTCAACTGAAGAAAAGCAAACAGTGGGTACTATCACAGAAATGGATGAAAACTCAGTAGTAACATTCTTTCCTAAAGTTTTCTATTTGGGTCCCAAAACAGGGACTACAATGCAAAACCAAACAGAGAACACGATGCTGTTTAATCAACATCACCTGTCTACAAAGTCAGAGGCAAAGCACACACCCTACAAATACCCTAACTTTATATAAACCTGATTTATTACTACCTTGCTTTTACCTCCACAAAATAAATTAGTGTGCATTTTATAGAATTCTTTCCTTTATATAAAGACTTAAAACAATGGTAATCAATTCCTCTCTGCATTTTCAGGAAAGAAAAATTTACATATAACTTTTCATGAGCCTAGCTACTACATAAAAGGAAGCACACACATGTAGTCTTCCTTAAACACTAATATATCAAACACTATCAGAATATGAGGTCAAATTAAATTTCAATTTTTCTCAATCTTTTTATCCTCCCCAACAAAATTTATATGTCAAAAGTGAATTTCTTTCCTCAGTAGTGCTTATACTCAAGGGTAAAGTGACACAAGATCAAATTAACACAGTATCTCATTAATTCTAAGATTTACATTTTTTGCCCACATTTTAACATCTCTATAGTTGGTATTCATCTTTCAACTAATAGAATGTCCTGGTTTAACTCACAGGGTTTTTTCTTTCTTAAAGGCATATAAAATAATAGTATGTGTTATAATTGATGGTGTCTTAGATCAGATGAAACACAGTATATCTATTTACACCTCTGAGCAATAACACATAAATCGACCTCTGTAAAATGAGGTGAAACAGCATGGTTAAAAAAAAGAAATGTGTGTGCAAATGTTGATGAAAGAAATGCTTCAAAGGATAAAAACAAACTAAAGTGATGATAAAGTGGCTCATTTACCAAAGAATCTCATTAGTGTAACATATGGATTTTCATGCACTGCCTACAACCTCTTAATAATAAATTTCTTAAAATAACTTACAGTACTTTAAAAAATTTTCTTTGGTTAATGAATTCAGTTGATAGCAGACAGCAACAGAATACCCACAGCTAGCACATGTGGGCAAAGCATTGGCGTAAGAAATCTGATCAAATCAATCTATTAGTGTCTTTAGCTAACTAAAACATTACCTACCTCCCAGCCAGTACTCTGTATAATAAAAAGTAAAAAAGGGCAAGTCATAAAAAAAAAAAAAAAAACTGTTTAAAAAGAACAACAAAAAAAAAGGCCAAAGGAAGTTCAATATTGTAAGGCATCATATACCATAAATCCTTCTCCGTGAATAGAAGACAGCAGCATATTTTAAACAGCATATTCTTTACTTAAGAACTATAATAATTTTATAAATTTCTTGTTCAAAACCCAGTAGCTAAATTTTGCCTTTTAAAAACTTTAATAAGTGAATGTACAAATTTGGGGGAAAGAGGGCTAGCTGGTTGTCCTGTTTAGGTGTTTAAATTAGATCTCTAATTAAGGAGAACTGCATTTCATTGAAGTATCCAAGCTAAACTGGAATACAAATTGCAATTTTGCTCAAATGCCATTGATACAAATGGATAAAAGTTTCTTGGAAACTACTAGCTCTAGATGTTCCAGACTTGACATGTATAATTTGCACTTTACAGATTTAGAAGCTGGGATGAGGTTCCTTTGATAGTATATATACAACTGATTATTAAAAAGACCCATCTGTTATGATCATAAAACCTAATCAATCTTTTGCAACTTCAGTATTTTGGTAGATGCCAATAAAATCCTGGCTTAACAGGATTGCAGCCCTATTTTAAGACTGTTAGTTTTTCAGATTATATCAATTCATCTAGAACAGCTTAGCCCATGGCAAGAAAGAGGAGGTTAAGCTAATAGATAATAAAGTAGGTCTAGTACTGAATACAAAGGTGGATAACCAACACTCCACCTCCTTAAATAATGGCAGGAGCAGATAATAGCATGGGTAGCATGGGGAAGAAAACAGAAAAGTGGAGTAGGAGGAGGCTCAACATGATATTTCAGAGTATTTCAATGCAGCCAAGGATTTAGTTTCAAGAAATCAATTGTTAGGAGTCTATCTTGCCTTTTTTTGTGTGTGGCTGGCCTGGCTGGTACACATAACTTACTTTTAAACCAGGTTTAATTTGATTCCAATTTTGGTGACAATACATGGATTAAATTCTATAAAAATCAAGTATGGAAGTCATAATATTATAATTAAATATATATAAGATAACCATTTTATTCATTGTTTTCATTAAATATCATTTTCATATTAGAAATATATCAAAGGACAGTTGAATACAAACATTTAGGAAAAACAGTTAAAATTCAGTTGCAGTCATTAAAAATATTAGGAGTTTATTAAAGTTTCACATCATTCAATGAAAAATTAACTTAAATATAAAAGCTTTTGGGGGCAGCAAAGGAATAGATACCAACTTAAAAATCAGATTCGTAATTTTAAATCTACATTGTGAAACAGAAATCACAATTTTTAAATATTTGCTAAACTAGTAACAATTCAAAAAAATAAAAATAAGAAAAGCTATGTGGAAAGTTTATGATCATAATTCATTTTTTGTTAATGAGCCTTGCTTTGGCCATGGATCTTCATTTTGAATGCTCATTTGTAAGCTGATTAAAATGGCCATTTCATGAGATCCAGTTTGACATCAGTACAAAGCAACACTAACACTTTTAGACAGTATTCTCCATTTATACTGAAGCTAGAAATTGGAATCATTACCTGATGAACAATTTTGCTGAATGCTTCTTGAAGTTTACCATGAATTGTGGATAGTTTCTTTGCATCCCGATTAGCTTCATGAATAGGAATAAGAACTTTATAAACCTCATTTACTGCTTCATACATGCCAGCCTATAAGAATAATGTTTATAAGATATTGCTTTCTTTTACATCAATAAGAAAATAAAAGAATTACAATTTATGAATTTACAATATTTTTATTAAGACAACACCACTGAAGCTTCTCCAATAGGACATAAAAACAAACACTACTAAATTTCAGCTGTATTCATTAAGGCTTAATAAAATAATTTTATACAATGTATCATCTCTGGATGAATGGATATGTATGTATATATTAATATATACACATACACACATATGCATACTTATATTTCTATATAATTTGAATTGGACATTCTGTTTCTACTACCAATAATTACTTCACTAGGGCAAATTTGTGTTATGTATATAATTTGTGTTATGTACATATTTTATCTATGCATATAAACTTTTGCAGAAATTAATTAATTAATTAATTTTGTGTGTGTGTGTGTGGCTGGCCAGTACAGGGAAGTGAACTCTTGAACTCTTGACTTTGGTGTTACAAGGCCAGGCTCTAACCAACTGAGCTAACTAACCGGCCAGCCCTGTAGAAGCTAATTCTGAGCAAAGGTCTGAGCAATAGTATGGTAGTTTAGTCAGGCAAGGAACTCAAGATGTAGTTCATAAAGTTCCTGATAAGTAAACTCCAGGCCTCCAACACCTACCTAATAAGGCTCAATATGCAACCAATTGGATGAGTGGCTATAACTTTCCTGGGCACCAGGGCAATGCCCAACATATTGGAAAGAAATTCTCCCTTTCATCTAACAGACAAACTCTATTTATAGTCATGCTAGTCTACCCCAAAAGGAACTTAAATCACCCTAAGACTTTGTTTTATTTTATTATTTAATTTAAATCTTTTGGAAAATATTGGTGGCAAAAGCTTTGTGAACCAAAAAAATATCCGCTGCAGATTACATGCTGGTTTATAAACAAGCAAATGAAAAACACCAGGGGAAGTGATAGATTATTAAGATAAAAAGGAGTAAGCAATGATGCATCTAGAAAGAAAAAATCTGTTCCTAGATAGTTCTCATGGTACTTGAAGAACTCTCTTAAAGGAAAAGTAGGGTCACAAGGCAAAGACAATAAATATACTTGTCACTGATAATACAGAGGTATGAAAATGTGGAAAGGGAATGAACAAGAGTCATTTACCATAGAGAAAGAAGCAGCTGCTTGCTCCAGTAATCCCACAAGTCCTGACTCAGTAAAGTACTTTCCAGAGCAAATACCTTCTTCGTCTGGAGATACCACATCATCTGAGACTGCAGATTCTTCTAAAACATTAGATGAAATATTCTAAGAGGAAAAAAGTTGAAAAAGTTTGTGAAATAAAATTAATTTCCTAGCATGAAAAATGTATATGAAGAAGTAATTGAAGATGAAATATAACTATCAGCTTAGGTTAAAAAGAAAAGGCGAGTTGATATAAAGGTAAAAGATAAATCTCCAAAAACTTGCTGTATTTTGAAACTGACAATAAAATGGCAAAACTATTGCTATATAACTTTTCGCTCCAATAAAAAGTTATGAGAAAAAAAATTTTTTAAAATCATGGGCTAAAGAAAATAGTGATGTGACATAGGATATCTACAGAGACTTAAATAGCCTTTCTTTTTGATTTTAGTTGATCTTCTCGAACTTCTTTACAAAGGAAATTAAGGTACAAAAATGATCTCAGTTGATGAAAAACTCAGGTATAATAAAAGCCCTTCTCCCAATGATATTAGGATCAGTCATCATCTCTAAAAAAGAATGACACATACATACCTTAAATATTTTATTTTAATCTAAATATTTACAACAGATGTATACTCATTTATCAATTTTTGAAGTAGGTCTAAGGCCTTTTCTTTGTATATGAGTTCCCAGATTAGAATTCCAAGTAATATCTCTTGAGTAAAAAAACCCATAATGCAACCATCTTTTAAAATTTCCAGTTTGGGTTTCTTTTTAAAGTAGTGTGAAAATGTGACCTTAAAAGATTATCACATTACCTAGATTTTCAGGAGCTTTTTTCCCAATCTTTTATATTTGTCTGGTCTAAAATGAATCCAACAGCAACTGTTTTAAAGACTCCCCTTTGAGTCTTTGCAAAACATTTAACTTAGTTTTCAGAGAAACAATAACTTTCTTTCTGCATTCTGGTTTTATCAGAAGACATAATATTTAATTAAATTTTATAGTATCTTAACTGTGGCATTAATAGGTTTTAAAGAAAAGCAAACTATAACTGACTTTGGTAAGCAAAGAATTCAACTAGTAAATTGGAGGTATGTACCCTATTAGAGAGAATGGAGAATATTGGTTTATCTGGTGTGTTGAGTAAAAGCCAATTAAGAGTTTCTACTGAATTCTGATCCTAAGTATTTTGAATGTAATACATTTTTATAGATGTTAAAGTCCATAAGTGATTACAAAGCATTAGGGGAAAAAAGAATATATACACATAGCACTGATAATTCACAGGTAAGCAGCTATGCAAAGAGAATTAACAAGAAGTACTCTTTAAAAATGTATTAATGACAATGATAATAAAATGTTAATTCACCTTGTGAACCATCATGCTTTCTTTACACACTGAAAGAATCGGAATACCATTAAAAAAAAGTTAAAACCAAAAAAGGACATACCTTGATTTAACATATACCTGGCAGATTCCTACCTGAAATGTTACACATCCTACAGGAAGATACTTCCGGTCCTCCAGCATGCTCAAATATTCAGCAACAAGTGCTGCTGAGTGGACCAGGCACTGTGCGGCTTCAGCATGATTGCTTCGTTCCGAGTGTTTGCCAGCCATGTTCTGCAACCAGGTCAATCGCAGATCTGGAGAGGTCTGGTAACCCTTGGCAATTCTAATTAGAACAGAAATTCTTCTCAATTAGCATATGCCTCCCAAGCTGGAAGGGAGTTTAGATAGCTTGTTCACAGTTTACCTAGACAGGTTTTTGTTAATGCACACAACCTGTTAAAGTTTTTAAATGGTACGAAAATGTCATTGTGTATGCTTAAAGAAATAATGGTGGCCCATGGAATGAATTTATCAGTTTGGGGGAAGAAGGCAAAAAGAGACATGCCATATTAAAATCTGGCCACTAAGGAAAGAATCAGTAAGGGAAAAAGTATGGGAATTCATGCATTCATCATGGGAATACAGAGAAGTTTTATACTCAAGAAAAAAGATTTATAAAAGGTAGTTTTACCACACCATCTTTATTTTAAAGATAATAAAATTGTTTTAACTATACCTTTAATAAATCCCAAACCTGGAAAAAGAATCATATGGAAAAGAAAAATTCTGAAGTTTTACTATTGTGCCTGTTAAGATACAACAGGAATTACAGATTTCTCAGAGTGTGTCCCTAGATATATTATCCTTTAGGTATATTTAAAATTTCAGGACAATTAATGGTAAACACATTCATGTGCCATATCTTCTTCTTAAAAGACTGATTTTTACATTTAAAATTGGGTCTGGGCCTTCCTAGGATGTCTGGGGCTCAGGACAGTGAGGTATTTAATATGTGTTAAAATTATTTTTAAAAATCCCCATTTTTGAAAATCAATAAATATACTGATATAATAAATATAAATATATGCATAGTTCTTAAAAGAAGTGACACAGGATCTGAAAAGCAGCTGGGAAAAAGTCCATTTTGACTTTTCAATCTACCATTAGAAAATCTCTTAAATAAATTTTTGTATGTTTATTTTTTTATCTAATGATTTCCATGTGTCTTACTAATCCCATTATACAAAGTATAAGCGAATCAAACAAATGCTACCTGTACATTAGATCAATCAACATTTCAGGATCCTCCTGGTGTTCCTTCATTTTAACAGTATCAGAAAGGATCATATGGAGATTGAAAACTAGATCTTGGACCTGCAGCAGAAAAATTATATGAAAACATTCTTTAATTGTCATTCATTCATAACCTCTAAATTAGTTTGGGAGATATTTCAGATAAGAACCTGAAGGTTTGAAGACAAATTATTCAATATTGATATAGTTCTATAGAGTATAGGTATGCTAGGGTTTGGAAAGTGAAGGGTAGCAAACTTTGTATAAATTCCTCAGCAGACTGTTTTTTCAGTTATTTCACCTGGAAACAAGTAGAACTATATTAGAAATAAAATACAGCAATATAGGAAATACAAAAGCAAAGATGGAAAATTTTCTCCTGTGTTTCTGATTTTACAAAAAGGTAGTCTGCAAAAAATTTTGTTTTTTAAGGCAAATTAATTTGATTAATAAATAGGAATAGTGTCTCATCATAAAGTTTTGTCTATATTGCCTAAGTCTACTGTTCTACTTGTTACAAATTTATAGAATTAAACACCAAAGACATTAACTACACCAAAAAGGAAGGATAGCTTAATAAAACAAAAAGATTCAGTCCAATCTATGGTACATAGTATGTGGACTGAAAAAGAAATAAGAGATCCTCCAGCAAAGATCAATGTTTGATTTAACAATCTGGCAAGTGCTTACAAGGGTACCTCAAAAAGATCATGGGAAGATTTGTATTATCTTTCAATAATTTCTTTCCACAAACCTTTTGAAGTACCATCATATTTAACAAGCCTACTTTAATCAATGATCTAGAAAGTAGCATTTCTTACCTGATCAGGAAATGTTGTTTCCCTCAGTTCCAGATCTTCTTCAGCATATGTCAATATAGTCTTTAGAGAACGTCTTAAGAATTCTTCATTAAAATTCTGAGATGTGCCCACCAAGGAGGATAGTGACATTGTTACCTGCATTTTAACCCTGGCAAAGTTCTGTAACAGAAAAATGTAACAGAGTTATACGTCAGGTAAATATTTAATACAGGAAAGCTTAAAGAAAAAAGTCTGGTTTTTTTCCTTACTAAAATAATAGGATATTTAGTGAAAAAATACCATTCTAAGTAAAATATATTTTTTAAAATAATGAAATACGCATATTGAAATCTTAGAGAAAACATAAAACTTACAATTTTGCTGTGAATAATGTGCTACATAACAGGGTTTTTAAAAAGCCATGTATTAGAGTTTAGAGTTGATTTAGAAATTGTGCCCAGGTCTTTACCTCTATCCATTATGAGGTATGTATTATCAATAATAACATAATTTTACAGATTATGTTAAAGAGGTTGACTGACATCACAAAATTCTTAACTGGTAGTTGTAGTATTTAAACTCTAGTCTAAAAAAAATAAAATAAAAATAAACTCTAGTCTATATTTGAACATGGTATGGGAAAATAAATGAAAATTAAACTGTAGTCCATTTCATTAGCTCCATAATAGGAAAAAAGTAATTTAACACACGTCATGCATATACTAGCTTAAGGTAGTAGAATCTTTGGAATGATGCCTTTAAGAGTTTATAACTTACATTCTTCCTTTTTTAGGCAAATTCACTTCTGATCTACCACTCCCCACTATGAAACCACTCTTAAGAGGTTATCACTGATAACCTACGAATTGCCAAATCCAAGATACCTTTCTGTCAATATTCAACTTGACATCATTGTATATTAAAATGTATTCGTTACTTTCTCCTTGAAAATCTCCTGCCTTATCTTCAGTGGCACCACTTTATCCTGGTTTTTCTCTTCATTACCTACTCCTTTTCTGTCTCCTTTATTCCTTGGCTGCCTTCCTTAAATGCTGGTGTTCCCAAAAATTCTATCAAAAACCTTCTGTTTTCACTTGACATACCCTAAATAGCCTGATCATCATGTCTTTGCCTTCAACTAGAATACACACATTTCTGTCTTTAGTTCATATTTCTCTGTAGAGCTCCAGACTATTATATTTGACTAGATAGCTCCATCTGTATGTCTCATGGGTACCTCAGTTATCATGCCTAAAATACCTTCTCTTTCTATTATCTAAACAAATGGTGCTACTATTCCTGTAGTCGCTCAAGCCAAAAATATAGGGGTCATCTCACAGTCATTCTCCCCTATCATTATTCGCACCATAAATCCAATCCATACAATCCCCTAACCTGTTCCAATCTGTCCTTTTGTCATTCCCAATGCCCTAGCTTTAGTTTGCACTCATCATTTCTTATTTGGATTATTGCAATAACTTCCTAGTCAATCTCCCTGCCTTTTTCTCTGATCTCCCAAGGCTGTCTCCCACATAGCACCAAGGAAATTTTTGTAAAATACAAATCTGAACACATAACGTCTCTCCTTAAAATACTCCAGTGGCTCCCCACAGTTTGAGGATAAAACTCTAGTATTCAACTCAGAAAATATGTCTAACTATACAGTGGGAACTGAGAGTACAGTGATAAACAAAACAAGGATGTGCCTATGATAGTTTAGTGTAGGCTTTTCAATTACAACTTTATCCCCTACAACTCTTTTTTCCAGTCATAACCACCATGAAGTGCTAAAAAAAGCACCTCTCTCTGTGTTTGCCCATTTCCTTCTTATCTCCATGCCTTTCTAATTATTTATGTGCCATTTTCATTACCTAAAAAGCTCTATCCACTCATCCATCTGATTGGGTAATTCTTCAGCCTTGATTCAATCATCTCCTCTTTCTGAAAACATATCACTGAAACATAATCTATTATCGTATTTAGTTGCACAGTACCCTGTGATTATCTCTCATTATAAAAACAACAGCAAGCACTAAGTTTTAGTGCTTTGCTCAGTGCCATTTATTGTTATAAATAATTTTATTTAATATTAATTATACAATCCTCACAAAACCATCTGAAATAGGATCACCTATCATTAGATGAATAATACTTGTTTGTATCCTCCCCCACTAGATGCCAAGCTATATGGAAAAAAAAACTGTTCTTTTATCTATGTTTGCCCAATGACATTAATTATACAATCCTCACAAAACCATCTGAAATAGGATCACCTATCATTAGATGAATAATACTTGTTTGTATCCTCCTCCACTAGATGCCAAGCTATATGGAAAAAAAAACTGTTCTTTTATCTATGTTTGCCCAATGACTACCACAGTTCCTAGGACACAGTTCAATACTTCAGTGTCTGATGAATACATCAACCACATATATCACGACCAGTTTTAAATTACCTTATCTTTTTTAGGGGCACTATCAGATACTAATACAATAAATTGCCTTTTCTTCTCTATCATATAAAGCTTTCCTTCCTAATCTAACAAAAAATGTTATAAAAAAAACCTCTTAAGTGTGGTCAAATTTTGGAAACTTTATTTCAAAAACTAAAAAAGGTCAAAAGTAACTAGATTCTTCTTTCTGGATTAAGAAAGAGGAGTTGGCCTTCAGTAAAAAACAGGAAAATGTGAGACAGCAATTCCCCACTTCTCCTCCTGGATTTTATGCAAAAATAAAAGATGAACAGGAAAACACTCATAAACTTTATCTTCATTGAAATGAAGAAACATGTATAATCCACATAATAGAAAAATGCATAAAGGTTGCCAAGACAAGCTAAGATAGGAAGCAGTTCCAATAAAAGGCAAGGAAGGAAAAGCAAATAGTGAGGAATCCTAGGGTACAGATTTCAGTACTAATGAAAACAAAAATACTTCCTTTAAATAAGAAACTCAACTCAAAGTGATAGAACTGTCTTGAAAAAAAAGAGAAAAACAGAAATAAAGATGAAATTTTTAGTGTTAAAAGGAAAAAGAGAAAATGATAGGTAAAAAGTAAAGCAAAAAAAGATTCAGCATATGTAACATTGGTTCCTGGTAGAGAAACCCCAAACACTGGAACAAGGCAAATATTTAATTTAATTATTATTTTTACCATGTTGTTTTCATTACTATAACTTTGTAGTATATTTTAAAGTCATGTAGTATAATGCCTCCATCTTTGTGCTTTTTGCTCAGAATTGCTTTGGCTATCCAGGGTCTTTTGTGGTTTCACATACAGCTTAATATAGTATTTTCTATTTCTGTGAAGAATGGCATTGGTATTGACTTTTTTTTTTTTTTTTTTGGCAGCTGGCTGGTACGAGGATCCAAACCTCTGCCCTTCATGTTCTCAGCACCACATTCTAACCAAGTGAGCTAACAGGCTAGCCTGTCATTGGTACTTTGATAGGCACTGCATAGAATCTGCAGATCCCTTTGGGTTGTATGATCACTCCAACAATATTAATTCTTCCAATCCATGAACATGGGATGTCTTTCCATTTTTTGGTGGCCTCTTTAATTTTTTCCATCAGCATTTTATAGTTTTCATTGTAGAGATCTTTCACCTCATTGATTAAATTTATTCCAAGGTATTTCAATTTTTGGTAGCTATTGTAAATTAGATTGCCTTCTTAATTTCTTTTTCAGCTAGTTTGTTGTTGGTGTATAGAAATGTTATTGATTTTTTTATGTTCATTTTGCATCCTATGACTTTACTGAATTCACTAGATCAGCTCTGTAAGTATTTTGGTGGAGCTTTTAGGTTTTTCTAAAGATGACATCATGTTGTCTGCAAACAGGGACAATCTGCCTTCACCTTTTCTGATTTGGATGCCTTTTCTTTCTTTCTTTCTTTTTTTTTGCCTAATTGCTCTGGCTAAGACTTCCAGTACTATGCTGAAAAGAGTGGTGAAGGCATGCATCCTTGTCTTAGTCCTTGATCTTAAAAGAGAAGCTTTCACCCTTTCTCTGTTCAGTATGTTAGCTGTGGGTTTGTCAAATATGGACATTATTGTGTTGAGATACTTTACTTTCATACCTAATTTGTTGAGAGTTTTTATCATAGAGTGTTGAATTTTATAAGATAATTTTTCTGCAACTACTGAGATAATCATAGTGTTTTTGTCCTTCAGTAGTTGATGTGAAGTATTACACATATTGATTTGTGTATGTTGAACCATCCTTGCATTACGAACATAAATCCCACTTGATTGTGATGTATAATCTTTTTGATGTGCTGTTGAATTTGGTTTGCTAATATTTTGTTGAGAATTTTTGCATCAATATTCTTAGGGATACTGGCCTATAGTTTTCTTTTTTTGTTGTGTTCTTGTCTGATTTTGGTATCAGGGTGATGTCGGCCTCATATAATAAGTATGGAAGAATTTCCTCTTCTTCAATTTTCTGAAATAGTTTGAAAAGAAGAACTGGTATTAATTCTTCTTTAAAAAATTGGTAGAATTCAGTAGTAAAGCCAACTGGTCCTGGGCTTTTCTTTGTTGAGTGCCTGCTGATTAGTGATTCAATCTTGTCACTCACTATTGGTCTGTTCAGGTTTCCTATTTCTTCTCGGTTCAATCTTGGTAGACTGTAAGTGCCCAGAAATTTATCCATTTTCTCTAGGTTTTCCAACCTGCTGGCATATAGCTGTTCATAATCATAAGTCTCTAATGATTCTATTTCTGCAGTATTAGTTGTGATGTCTCTTTTTTCATTTCTGATTTTATTTACTCAGTTCTTCTCTCTTTTTCTTAGTCTAGATAATGGCTTGTCAATTTTGTTTATCTTTTCAAAAAACCAACTTTTGTTTCATTATTTTTTTGTTTTCTTTTTTGGTATCTATTTATTTAGTTCTGCTATGATCTTTATTATTTCTTTCCATCTATCAATTTTAGGATTGGATTGTTCTTGTTTTTCTAGTACCTTGAGATGCAATGTTAGGTTGTTTACTTAAAATTTTTCTACTTTTTTTGATGGAAGCATTTACTGCTATAAACTTCCCTCTTAGTACTGCCTTTGCAATATCCCATAGGTTTTAGTATGTTGTGTTTCTATTTTCATTTGTTTCACAAAATTTTTTATTTCCTTCTTAATTTCTTTTTGACTCATTGGTTATTCAGGAGCATACTGTTTGATTTC